AAAAAAAAAAAAAAAAAAAAAAATATAAAAAGACAATTTGCTAACCTTATTTTCTACCCTTAACTGAAGTTAGTGGGGGCCCTTTTGCTAACAGTTAGGAAGTCTCCTATGTGGCAGGATTGGAAATAACATTTTAAAATTAATTTTATACTCATATAATAAACTTAACGTTAGAAAAACTGTAGAGTAGTAATATTTTAGGATTTTTTTATCATTTCAGGAAATTAAAGAAACTGAGTTCAAGGGGGTCCCAATAAGTTATCTGGAGGTTCATCCCAATGGAAAACGTTTGTTAATCCATACCAAAGACAGCACTTTGAGAATTATGGATCTCCGGATGTAAGTATAATTCAGTATTGACAGGATAAATACCCACAGAATAACTAATCAATCAAATTGTATGTATAAAATGCAGCAGTGGTTCTCAACTAGGCAATTTCTCCCCCCTTTGGGGACATCTGAAAATATCTGGAGACATTTTTGATGTTGCTTCTGACATCTGATGGGCAAAGATCAAAGATACTGCTAAGCATCCTCCAACTCATAAGGACAACTCCCAAGACAAAGAATTGTCTGGCTCAAAACATGAATAGTTCTGATGCTGAAATGTAATCAATTGCTTTTATTTTCACAATTAAAAAAAGAAACTTCTATTTTCAACAGTAATATTGATTTATAATGACATTATCTGTATGATACTGGTATAGCATAGTATAATATCATAACTGAAGGAAAGAGGTTTTGATTAATACATCCTTATTTTTCTTATTTGTTTTTAGTTAGAAATAAAGGCAAGTGTGGAGAAGTATCCTTAATGTAAAAGGCAGATGCAGAGTTCTGGGAAAGCTATCATAGATTTCTAGTGCACTTTTTTTTTTGATGTTAGAGTTTCTATAAAACGAATGAGAGAAAACGGTTTTATTAGATTTTCCTATTATATTTAGAAAGGCAAATGTAGTGATCTATATTAACTTAATTCTGTATCTTTTAAGGATTGACCATTAAGCCCTTTAATATTTATGTAAAACAATTCAAGACACTGGCATGAGTGTTGTTGTAGAATGAGAAGCAGAATTAGGCTACCAGTTTATCATCTAGTTGTATGCCTTTAAAATAAAACAAAAAATGTTTAATTAAGCTAAAATGTAAGATCTTGTATTATTGGAAGTTGCTTTTTCTTTTCTGTGTATGTGTAATCCATGCCATGCCTGGCAGATAGCAAATACTCAACATGTATTTTTTAATGAATATAAAGTTATAATAAAAGGATTATATTTTTCATGGCAACTAGACACCAGACAGCTATTAGATAATCTTCTGTTAAAGTCTCTATTGAGAGATTGGCATTTGAGCTCAAACTTGAAGGATGGGTAGAATTTAGACAAGATAGAATGTAAAACATGAAATAAAGTTTAGAAGTGGGATAATACATGTTGAAGGCAGAGTGGATTGGCATGGGCATAGGTTTCTTGGCATGGAAAACAGATACAGAATTTTTTTAGAAATAGAAATCAAGACCAGATTAGAAGGGCAAACTAAGGAGTTTTGTTACTCTGTTTTTAAGCAGTAGAACATGTAGCTTAAGAACATGCTTGAGCTCTACGTACAGACTGCCTAGAGTCAAACACTGCCTTTTAACCCTTACCAGCTGATTAACCTCTCTGTGCCTTTCCTCATCTGTCAAATGGGAGAAATAAATGTTCCATACTCAGGGTTCTGTGGTAGAATAAACAAGTTAATGCGTCTAAATGCTTAGAACAGTAAAGCCCATAGCAAAGACTCCAGAAACGTTTGACTCAGTAGCCCCAGATTTGAGAATTTATCTTAATAAAATAATTGTAAAACAATGCAATATATATACTACTTTGTGTGTATATATATTATTATATTATATATATATACATTATATAACATACATATTATATAATGTATATATGTGTGTGTGTGTATATATAATATAAGATTGTTCATAGAAATTATGTTCATGGTAGAAGAAAGCTGGAAACACCCTAAATGTCATCCAACAATAGAAAATTTCCTAAGATCTATTTCTACAATGATACAATATGGGCCCATTAAAATAATTATGTATAATCTATATTTTCTGATACAGAGATCCATTATTTATGATTTATGTTGAGTAAAAGAAAAAATATTACAGAGCATCATATCCAATGTCCTCTGTAAACCAGGGATGATAATAGAATCTACCTGGTACATAGTAAGTACTGAAACAGTGTTACCGTTATTTATATATGGAACAGTCTAAAAGACTATGCACTATATTTAATAGATGATTTAATCTTATATCTTATCTAATATTTCTTCAGGAATCAAGTATTCCTTCTGTGATTTTAAAACTTAATCAGGTGGAGAAAACATAAGAGCATGAAAATTCTACTCATTTTTTTTTTTAAGTAACCAATTTAAATGCTGCTTCCATAAAGTAGTCTCTCTTCATAGCTAGAATTAATGTCTCTTCTACAAGTCTACGAGGTACTGGTTCTGTTACTCTTCTGTGTATTTTCTATATCTACTTTCTGTTTTACGTTGATACATTTTTTCTCTTTCCTGCTTAATTGTAAACTCTTTGGGATGTGGGACTAGCTCTTCTTTATTCTGTCTCCATTGTAAAATGTCTCCCATAGGAAAGATTCTCAAAAATTATTTGTTGAATGGAAGTTAAATTAAAAGAAAAAGTTTTCTACCACCAGTCGTTTAAATTGTTAAGCCAAGTTATATTTGTAAAATCTTTTTTTTGTTTATAGATTAGCAGCAAGGAAGTTTGTAGGTGCAGCAAATTATCGGGAGAAGATTCATAGTACTTTGACACCATGTGGGACTTTTCTCTTTGCTGGAAGTGAGGATGGCATAGTGTATGTTTGGAATCCAGAAACAGGTAAATGTTGAACTTCAAAAATCTTTGGGGAGAAAAGGAGTTTGAAGAATTGTGAAAACCCTCCTATTTTATGGAATAATTTTCAAGGAAATTCTGATTTCAGGGTTTCAATTATATTTTTTAAGATTAGAAAGCTTTTAATGGAACTCAGCGGCAGTCTAAACTTACATTAAAATTTGTTCTTTCTTGGGTTGGCGCCTGTGGCTCAGAGGGGTAGGGCACCAACCCCATAGGCCAGAGGTGGCGGGTTCAAACCCAGCCCTGGCCAAAAACTGCAAAAAAAAAAAATTTTGTTCTTTCTTGTAGTAGTGTCATGGATTTAGAATTTCACTTTATAATTGAAGATTTATTCTTTCTTTGCCTATAATGAGATATTGCTGAATTTAGGTACTTATTGAAGACTAAAACTAAATACAGATGTTTAAGCTAAATTTGGAGTGCAGCTAGGTAAACAAATGATTAAACATCTATAATATATTTTCATTAGTAACAAAAACATAGCTGTGAAAATTTTTGGTGTCTGAAACTTAAATAGCAGTTTACATAAATTACAGACAATTCAAGTTTTTTTCTAATAAAACAAACTGTGACAAGTAACTTGTTACCTTACTTTCAAAAGAAAAGCTGAAACTACATGAACTTTTTTTAATAATTGAGAGAATTTTATAAAATTTACTTTAAAATTTCTTTAATGAATATTATTTGATTTTGCTTTGTTTATTCTCTGTACTTTCTTTTAGGTGTTTTGACTAGTCAACTAACTTAAGGGGTTTATTTTTTTTTTCTTGTACCATGTTTTGATACTTATGTATCAATTTAACCTGTTCTTCTAGATTCCTTGCTCTTTAGTTTCTTCTGAATGGTTTTTTTTTTGCTGGGTTCCACAGATATCTACAAGAGGGATCTTTTAGCCATAATCATAGGTTATCTTTTGAGTAGTTGGTACCTCAAACAACCTCTGGGGGAAAAGAAATAAAAAAGTTAATCCCTCACCACTATCACCAAACTGGAGAGTTTCTTCAGTTTTAGAGTCTTGTAATTCCTCCACTAGTTCTGCCCAGAGTTTTTGTTAGCTGAAGTTTGTTCAGCTGCATCAGATCTCAGACTTTGGTGGTGGACTTTGGTGGCCCTCCAGACCCCCACATGCAGCCCCTGGATTGAATCCAAATTTTATACAGCAAACCCTTTTAATAATAGTGAATTTAGGTAAATGTAGAGAAATATCCTTCAGGCAAAAGACTTCTGGCATACTTTGTATTTTATGCTTTATAAACCTCATTAAAGAGGTTGGATTAAGGAAGGAGAAAAAGGAGGGCCAACAGAATGTGGAATAATGATAATATTTAATGTAATGGTACTTAAACATTTATTAGTATTTGAAGTTTTGGCTCAGCACCTGTGGCTCAAGTGGCTAAGGCACCAGCCACATACACCTAAGGTGGTGGGTTTGAATCCAGCTTGGGCCCGCCAAAGAACAATGATGGCTGCAACCAAAAAATAGCCGGGCATTGTGGCGGGCTCCTATGGTCCCAGCTACTTGGGAGGCTGAGGCAGGAAACTCGCTTGAGCCCAGGAGTTGGAGGTTGCTGTGAGCTGTGATGGCATGGCACTCTACCCAAGGGGGACAGCTTGAGGCTCTGTCTCAAAAAAAGTATTTGAGATTTTCTTGTAAATAATATATGAACTTTATTGTCACTATATATATTTTCTAGTAAGTTACAGAATAATCTTGTAATGAGAAATGTCTAATGATACAATACAGATTATTGAATTTCTTTTTTTATTTAGGAGAACAAGTAGCCATGTATTCTGACCTGCCATTTAAGTCACCCGTCCGAGACATTTCTTATCATCCATTTGAAAATATGGTTGCATTTTGTGCATTTGGGCAGAATGAACCAATTCTTCTGTATATTTATGATTTTCATGGTAAGTACACACTGCTTGATAATAAAGAGTATTTAGAATAACTTTTATGTTTAGGAATCATATAAACTCTGTGAAATCTCTTTTTTTTATATTAACAAAGCTCTCTTAAATATACTTTAAGAGCCAAACAGATTAAATAGATTGTATTATATATACATGCTATAACATTTTATTTTTCTGCATAATTAGGTATAGAATTATAGATGTTAGCACACCTTCTTTATAAATCAACTTAAATAAATAAAATTAATCTAAACATTATTGAGGAATCTGTTAACTAAATTTAAAAGGCAAAGAACACTTAGGAAATATGAATCTTCAGTGTTTTCCCTTAGATATCAAGTTAATTTTTATTCCATGTTTTTATTCTTATGAAACTATATAGTTTTGGTAAGTTATATTTCTGAGAGTTTAACATAAAAAATAGGCCAAAAAAGAAAAAAATCAAGTGTCAGCAAAAACAAGATCTGTAATTAGAATCCAATATCTTTTTCAGGTCTAAAATTATATAATCCTATGATTCTGAGACATAATAAGGAAATAAAAACTTTGGATACATTTCTCAAGAATAATATGGAATTCTAAGAATTACCTGATTTATGATATTTCTCATATATTTCATTAATTTCTATCTTGAAATTAGGATTTTGTTGTTTAGCATTATAATGGTGCTATCACTCTCAAAATTACAATTCCATTTTCATATGTCAATTCTTAAACAAAAATAAAAGTTCTCTATTTCTTAGATTTGTTTAGAATATTTTGTGTTATTCATTGGTTTTGATAAGTTAGAATGTCTTACATATAGTTATACAGATATCATAAATGCATAAATATAAAAATGCTTATGTAGGTTAATATTGATGAAGAACTATTTGGGCAAAGTATTTTAAATTCATGAAATATGGAAAATTAAGTTTATTATGTATAAATGCTATGACATTTAATGCTATTAAATTTCTTAATGGTTAAGTGTCAAGTTATTAGATAATTGAGATATGTTATAAACCTCAAGTTCCTCTCTTATTATGGATTATATTATACCTTTCTAGGTGAATTACACTAGAAAACAAGGCATAAAATCAAGATATGTCTTATTTTACGATAGAACTTTACAGAGAAGAAATAATTTCTGCAACACATATTCAAATTTATAGAGGACTATTAGTAATCGTGTAATTGTTAAGCAACATAGTACTATTTACTTTTATAAGCAAATGTTAGCAAAATTAAACACTGCTTGATTATAGGCAAAGATAAAGGGATTTTCAGATCATCCATTGTCCAGATTCTATTCTCTAGTTCTCTCATGTATCCTGAAACAATTCTTTCTTTATACCCACTCTTAAGTTTTCACATAAACCAAGATAGTTATATGTAAGTATATTTGAGATTATTATACAGGAAATAAGCAGCACAGTTATTTCCTCAGACTCTTAAGAGGTTTCACAATAGTCTTCATTCAATTTCTAATTTGCTTTTGACACTTTTTGAAATTTTCACTACAGATACAAATTAAAGTTTTACTCTGTCTTATTTCTTCAGGGTTTTTTTTTTTAATGGAAAATTTTATCTTTAGATTAGCCCATGAAAGTTAGGTTTGCCAATTTGGTGTTTAGGCAACAGGCATAGAAGTCCATTTTGGAAGCATAGTAGAAAGAGCAAAGTGTTTGGGGAGTACAAAAACATGGTTTTAGGCCCCAGTTTGTTACTTTAGTGACTATGTGCAAGCTTCTTGCCTTCCTGAAGACTATTTTCTCATCTAGTGAAAGGTACTATGGTACTAGAAGGTACCCATCCTACCTAAGAGAGATGTTTTTGAGGATACTATAAGGCAGTGATTGTGAAAATGCTATGTAAATTGTAAGCATTGTATTAAACAAAAAATGAATTGTGGTGTTGTCATGCTCATTACCAGTATACACATGACTTTATAAGAATGTATGTTTTATTGTAATATGCTGATAAGCATCTCTAAGTGGAATGGAATTGTAAAAAGCTTTTATTTGTTAAAATGAGTACAGTTCTGGGTCAATTTATTAGAAAATAAGTACATAAAGTTAAGAACATAATGTTATATTCCCACTATTTTAATGAGGAGGAAGAATTCCATGAGCATTTTAGAAATTAAAATATGCAAATAATAGCCACATGAAATTAAAATTATTCTGAGCAGTGTTTTAAGAGCACAGTTTTTTTTTTTTATTAAATCATAAACACATAGATCATGTATACATTAATGCATTTATGGGGTACAATGTGCTGATTTCATATATTTAGGAATACTTACATCACACTTAACATGAGGTTAATATATACCTCATCTCATTTACTTAATTATTGTGTTAAGACATTTATATTCTATACTAATAGATCTGTCATGTACCCTTGCATTATGCACCATAGGTGTGATCCCACCATTCACCCTCCCTCAATCTGACCTCCGCCTACCCCATCCATCCCACCCTCCTCCTTCATCTTGGGCCATAGTTGTGATCTATTCTTCATATGAAAGTGTGAGTGATGTAAATTGGTTTCATAATAGTACTGAGTACATTGGATATTTTTTCTTCCATTTTTGAGGTACTTTACTAAGTAGGATATGTTCCAGCTCCATCCATGTAAATGTAAAAGAGGTAAAGTCTCCATCTTTTTTAAAGACAAATGAAAATTTAAAATGTTTCAACACATTTTCCTAACTCTTTGTTGCCTATTTTTAAAAAGAGGAAGCTCAGGAAGAAGTTGAGTAATTTCAAGCCATCCAAGATTTAGCAGAATTCTTGTGAATGGTGTAGATCTCTAAGAAAATGAAAAGTTGTTATAGACTCTAAATATTATACTAATTAAATATAAGCCAGAATCATCAAGTCTAATAGTCTTTAAATTTTTCATTGAAAATTATAATGTTTATTACTGTGCTATGATAGTTTTGTCTTTTATTTTCTAGCACAGGAATGTTTAGCTCAAACTCCTTTGTCTGAAAATAAAGTTTACATGTGGTTTTGTATAAATTTTTAATGGTTTAAAATTGAAAATATGCAGAACAGTTAAGTGCTTTTTAAGTAGTATTCAGAGCTTCTGATAATTTTCAAGGAAAATGGAGCAAGAATTTTTTTACGTAAGTTAAATAAGCTGTGGATGAGACCACAGTGGTAGCTAAATGTATCATCCATCTTTCAGTTCTAGCAAAATCTGTGAAGAGACAGCAAGCATCTTTCCCTGTTAAGCATATGTTCAGGTTGTGGTCTTTTGGGTCTTTCATTCTACTGACTTTTTGCTTTTTTTGGTAAGAAATATGATTTTTACTTTCAGAAGGCAGTTTTATTTGTCTGATGTTGAAAGGTTTTTAATCATCTAGTAATACAAAATTTAGTCACAGAGTACCACAAATAATGTACTTTTAGGATTCCCATAATAACAGAGTGTACTAGTCAGAGAAACGGATTCTACTGAATTAAATTTGTGAAGCTAGACTTTAGCACGTAATGTTTGGTTATTAATCAATATTTTTATGCTCAGTCTCTAGGATACTGATCTACAGTTAATAATAATTATTGCTAATACATAGCACTTTCTATATTCCTGGTACTTTATAAAGCACTTTACATATATTTAAGTTTTCACAGTAATCTTGTGACATAGGGGCTATTATTAACCCCATTTTATAGGATCCAGGGCTTAAATAAATACAGTCTGGTCTTAGCATCCAAGCTCTTATTTGCTACACTAAATTGCCTCTTCAGCAGATCTCTTGAAATACTAGCTTTTGAATATGTGATAGTCAAACCTTTTTTTTTCCTACAGTATCATTTTTCCATGCTTGTCTTGTGGAGTGTGTGCTTTCTCTGTATTTTCTATACTTTATAGGAAGCAGAATTTGAGGCTTGTTCATCTTTTTCTTACCAGTACCTAGCCCAAATAAGTATTTTAATTAAGATCAAGTCTAATTTGGGAAGGTCACAGCATTAACTAATAGGTAATGAGCCTAATTTTTCACTAGGTGGCATTGTCTCCTCTGAGCCAATATTAACTCATGAGTCAGAGAGTCTTGGGCAAGACAAATCTTTATTGAGCACCTATTATGTGCCAAGTTGAACTAGGCTATGAAACCTAGGAATTGGACTCATATTACCATGCTTTATTTCTACCACTGACATGATTTTATCGTTATCATTAGTTAGTAAATTTAGAGCTAACAGCAATGGTAGTAGTAACTAGTAGGTAGTAGGTAACATTTATTAATCATTTACTATGTGTTTGCCACTCTTATGAGCATTTTACGTATATTATCTCATAAAATCCTCCTAAAACTCGTTGAGTTGGCTACCGTTTTTATCCTCACTTTACAGATAATGAAACTGAGGTACAGAGAAAATTAAGTAATTTTCCCGAAGTAATACAGTTGATGGTAAAGCCACCATTTGATTCCAGGCTACGTGACTTCAGAGCTCACATTCGTAATACATTGTCACAGCTACTTACTTAGACTTTGCATTTCCTGTTTTATGGCATAAGTGAAATTAAGAAGGCAGCTAAATATTCCTATAGTAAAATGTGTTGTTTTCAATTTCAGCATTTAAGAGAATCCCTTAAGAAAGGAAGTTTGCTTATGTATTATTATTAAGTTGTAACAGAATTGTTGAATATGGTAGACATTTTCCGATCAGGTGGCTTTGAGACTTGAATATGCTGCACATTCTCATACAGCTTTTGAATAGTTTGATTAGTAATACTTCTAAGTTCTACTTATCAATTACAATATATCCAGGGATTAGAGAATTACTGATAGGCCCTGAAACATACACAGGCTATCAGAATTGAAGTGTTCCCCTTAACTTCTTAGATCCATCCACTGGTCTGGTCTCTTAAGATGAGCTGATGCAGGTGGGCGGTGCCTGTAGCTCAAGGAGTAAGGCACTGGTCCCATGTGCCAGTAGCAGGCAGGTTCAGACCTGGCCCCAGGCCAAAAACTGCAAAAAAAAAAAAAAAAAAAAAAAATAATATTAACTGAAGCAGGAATGAGTCAGGCCAGGTAAAATACAACTTAAAAAACATTTTATTGTTTGATAATACAGTAGAACCTCCATAGTTGATCACTTCTCTACATTGACCACCCTTGACTTGACCTAATTTTCATAGACTGGACATGCACCACATGTACATATCAGTTCAGTAGGTCTAGTTCTTTATGTTGACCAGTTGTTACAGTCTCTTGAGTGGTCAACTTAAAGAGTTTGTTCTGTAAATACTAAAGCAAAAGATACATATATTCTGTGATCTAGTATGTGATCTAGTATTCTGTGATCTATAAATGTCCTTCCAGGTTTATAACTTATATAAATGCATCTATCACCAAAAGTTGTGTTCATTATAGCATTATTTGTATTAGCCTGAAATTGGAAAGAACTGAAATTTCCATCAAGGAGCATGAATAAATAAATTGTATTTGATCGACTAACCAAAAAAATTATGGCCTTGAGTGTTCACTGCAAATACTAGAGAAAGAGGAGGCTGCTGGGACACTAGAAATGTAGAACTACCATCTTATGGGAATTATTATAATTGGAAAAATAATAGTTTATAAATAAAGGAATTGAGTATGTAGTAAGATGACCATATGTGGCAACAGGGCTATACATAATAATAAATCTTGAACACAGGAGTTAAAAGTTGAACCAAAGGGAAATCTTATGCTAAAATAGTGTATGAGAAAGAAAAAATAAAATAAAATAGTATATGAGAAAGAGTATGTTGCAATTTTAGTTGTACGTTATTATAAAATTAGTAACATAAGTACACATAGATTTTAATAATAGCAAACTTTGTATTTGCTTCAAATGCAAAGGACAGTGGATTAAAATATTTTACTTCCTCCATTCTTTATTATATAAAGATAATAATCTCCTGACAAACCACATTATTTTTTATAATTGTTTAAGTCAGGAACATACACAAAAGCACTGAGCTTATTTTAAGAATTTTTTATTCTGTAAAGTTTAGAATCACAAATTATAGCCTATTAAATATAAATCTTGTGCCAATTTTTGAAGTTAGCTTATTTGTTTTCTAATTATTGAGTTATAGGAATTTCTCCAAAAATAACCTGCTGGAATTTTGAGTGAGATTACATTGAACCTATAGATCATTTGAGTGGGATTGCCCTAAATATAAAGAATTGGCATTTTACTAATATTGAGTATTCTAATCCATGAACATAGTATCTTTCTTAGGTATTTCTTTAGTTTATTTTGAAATGCTTTCAGTTTTCAGTGTATAAGTCTTTTATATCTTTTATCAGATTTTTTACCAAAGTGTACATATTATTATGCCAGAGTAAATGGTATTTATGTTTTTAATTTTGATTTCTGATTCTTTATTACTTATATTGAGACATAGAGATGATTTTTGTATGTTAATTTCATATTCTGCAACCTTGCTAAAGTTGATTCTAGTGACTTTAAAAAATTTTTTTCATTTAGATTTTATACATAAATGTGAGGCCAGGACCTGAGAATATCTTCTTAAATTTTTTCCCCTCCATGTTTTACTTGCTTTACTCTGGTATAGCTTGGCATAGACAATCATATTTGCCAAAAAAAGGACAGCTTTCTTTTATACATTTGGTCTATTTTTTGGTAGTTTCAAGTGGGAAGGTATATCTGGTCCCTTTTATTCCATTTTGCTCAGAGATGGAAGGACCCTATTACCTGTCATTTATGTTAATTTTTATTGTGGCAGGCTTTTTTATTTCAGCAAAATGTTAAAATGTTCATGTATCAAAATTTGTTCATTAGTTTATAAGAGTGTTGGTAATTTAACCTTTTCTGACTCATGTAATCCTTTGGTGGACGATCTGATAAAGGTATGGGGTCTACTTCTCAGAAACATTCTTACATACATACTCATATTTCTGTACATAACTTGAGTAATCTATAGCACTTCTGAAGGCTCATACATTGATTCCATGTTACAAATCCAATTTTTGAGTTTTTTCCTTTCATGTTATATTTGGAAAAACTTTCATTTTGAGATTACATAATTAAGGAAATATGTTTTTAAATGATTTTTTTCTCCTTTGTATATACAGACTAGCACTTAAAAAATTAAATTTATTTATTTCATTTATTTTAATGTTGAAATAATATAATGTATGTGAAAGCATTCTAAAAATCATAAACTGCAAGACAAGGGCTGTCTTATTCATCATTGTCATCATCATTATCAAACTTATCCATGCATGATCTATAATAAGGGAAAACAGAAAATATTGTAAATATAGTTGTCTCTTGGTATCCATGTTTCCTTTGGGGATACTAAAATCCATGGAGGCTCAAGTTTCTTATATAGAATGTCATATTATTTGTAAATAACTTAGGCACATCCTCCTGTATACTTATGTCTTCTTTAGATTTCTTATAATACCTAAAATGATATAAATGCTATATAAGTAGTTGTCATAATATATTTTTAATTTGTATTATTTTTAGTTGGTTTTTTTCCAAATACTTTTCCTCTATGGTTGGTTGAATTCACAGATGCAGAACTCATGGATATGGAGGGCCAACTGTATTAATAGGAGAGTGTGTTAAAAAGATTATGTGCTTCATTAGATAAGATACTGTAAGACATATAACAATGGTAATTATATCATTGTAGAAATATGAAAAATGCATTTAAATTAATAAATGTTAAATTATATTTACATTATGATACCTTAAATAACACATACACATATGTATAAAGATTAAGAAGGGTATATAAATATGGAAATAGTTTTTTTTAGGCAGTTGGGCTTGAGAATAATTATTTTTATTATTTTAGCAGTTCCCTTAATTCTGTTGTATTGTGCCTTTGATTTTTTTTATATTATACTTTCTATATTATATATATAGAAATATGTATAATATATATATATTTATTTATTTAAAATAAAGCTCCTGTCCCAATTTGCCTGACCTTTAAGGCCCAATTAGAATGTTGTCTGACATTAAATTATCTATGAAATCATTATATATCCTTATGATTTTATACTATCTAATAATTTTCCATTTGCTAGTCACATTGTCTTATAATTACCCAGTATTTAAAATGTGTTATGCAGTTTCTGATTATTTATTGAATGCTATGATTTCATGACTCAGTAATTTGATTAAACTTTCACTGTAATGATTTGAACTAATTATGGATTCCTTTTTTCAGTAGCCCAGCAAGAGGCTGAAATGTTCAAACGCTACAATGGAACATTTCCATTACCTGGAATACACCAAAGTCAAGATGCCCTATGCACCTGTCCTAAGCTGCCCCATCAAGGCTCTTTTCAGATTGATGAATTCATCCACACTGAAAATTCTTCAACAAAAATGCAGCTAGTGAAACAGAGACTGGAAACTGTCACAGTATGTTTAATTATATACTATGCAGTTGAAATTTTAAAATCATTTCTATTTTATATTATCATTCCAATAAATATTAATTTAATGAAATAAGTTAATTACTTAAAACTAGGCTCTCTTATAGTTCCTTTCAAATACTTGTTCCGAAATCATTAATTGCAATAGACCGGATTTAGTATAATCCATCATGCTATCCTGACATAGTAAAGAATCCTCTGTAAAGAATAGGCCAGGAAGGACCCTGACCCAAAAGACCACAACTAGGACTTACGACATGGATATCTCTTCATCTCCTAGGAAAGGAAGAGAAACTATGGTCCTCTTTCCCACTAGGACCTCTGAGACATGTATTTAGCAGATTTAAACTTTAACCTTAGGAGTTTTCAGAGCCAAGCAACAGGACCGCTTCTTGTAAAGACAGATAATATTCAAACAAGTAATTCCTACTCAGGGATTCAAAATCCTGTAACATCTTACCTAAACCCACATTTCCTTCAGTGATTCTTAAACTTCAGTGTGCATCAGAATCACCTGGCAGATTTATTAAAGCACAGATTGCCAGGCTGTTTGTGATTTTGTAGGTGTTTGTGATTCTGTAGGTCTGGGTTGGTATTGTGATTTTACATTTCTACAAGATCCCAGATGCTGGTGGTGCTGCTGATTGGAGAACCACACTCTGAGAACAACTGGCCTAGTTCACAGTCCCCAGCACTTAGTAAGAACTTAATAAATATATGTTTCATACCCTCATCTAAACTGTAAGCTCCTTGAGGGCAGTTCTAATATTGTCATCTTTTACTGGTGAGTGAGCTAAGGAAAAACTGAATTATTAAACTCACCTTTACCCAAAAACCATTTTTTACTTTGTCTCTGGCCATTCTTTTGCTATCTTCATTTCAGGGAGATCAATCTTCCCCTTCAAATTATAGCTTTCCCATTAACTTATTTTTCTAATTCTTGACCTTCTCGGTTTCCTGTTCTCTAATTGGCATTGTTTTTCCTGCTACCATATATCTGTGTACTGGCCTCTTCATATAGCAAAAAAATACTCCAGCCCTGCACACTTGTATTCTTCTTTTGTAGCAAGTGTTGACCAGGTATAGATTGGCCTTGTAGGTTGGGTTCCAATAGTTTGAACAAAGAAAACTTAGTTAACCTGAATATTTATTGATTTTCTACTACATTTAAGATACTCCAAGGGACACAAAAATATTTAGCCCTTGACCTCACTTGCAAGCAAATATTCAAATAATGAAGAATATTTGTAATATTCTATAATGTAAGACAGAGTCTTTTTTAAATACATTCCACCTGTATAATGTTCACATTGCCTCCTTTAATGTAGTAGCCATGTAAGACAGGCATGGCAGTGACTATTATGGTTGCTTTGTAGGCCAGGAAACTGTTTCCGTTCAAAAGGCAGACACAAAGTTTTATGGGTTTTACAAGTTGAAATAATATATGTATATTCTCTCTTGAAATGTTTCTAACTACATATAAGACAATAGGACATACAAAATACCGTGGTAGAATTTTACAAGTGTGAAAGAGAGCAAGAAATTATTAAAGTAGAAGAACCAGAAATAGAAAAGACATTCTCCTTATAGCCAAAAACACTGACATAGGGCCAGCCTAGTGGTTCACGCCTATAATCCTAGTACTCTGGGAGGCCAAGGCAGGTAGATCCCCTGAGCTCAGGAGTTTGAGACCAGCCTGAGCAAAGTGAGACCCCCATCTCTACTAAAAATAGAAAAAATTAGATAGGTTTGTTTGCACATGCCTATAGTCCCAACTACTTAGGAGGCTGAGGCAGAAGGATTGCTTAAGTCCAGGAGTTGGAGGTTGCAGTGAGCTATGATGATGCTACTGCACTCTAGCCTGGGTGATAGAATAAGACTTTGTCTCCAGAATTATAAAAAAAATAAAATAAATGTAGACAGAGCTACAGAAGATTGCACTTCAGAGCCATGTAATTGGAATGCCTCAGTCCACCAGATACAGGCTCAATTACAAGCTAATTACACATTACAGATGTGGGAAAGGGGAAAGTTGATACTTTAAAATATCAAGAGATATTTTATATCTTGATAAAATACCAAATTAGAGAACTAATTTCAAAAGCACTATTAAGAAATGCAGAGAAAACAGATGAAAACTACAGTAGAACCTCCATAGTTGATCACCTCACTACATTGACCACCTCCTTAAGTTGACCTAATTTTCAAAGACCGGTCATGCACCACATGTACATATCAGTACAGTAGGCCTAGTTCCTTTGGTTGACCAGTTTGTTGCAATTCTGTGGTTGGTCAACTTACAGAGAGGTTCTACTGTATACTTAAGGATGTAGCTGGAAGGTCCAACTGCTTATGCATAGATGTAGGAGCCAACATATCCAACTTTGTGACTCTGGATAAGTAAAATGTAATTTTCCTCATCGATAAAATGGGATTCTAATATTTCTTACCTTACAGGATTATTTAAATTTTGTGAGATTCTAAATGTAAATCTCTTTACAGGGTGTCTGATACATCATACCACTGATAAGTATTAGTTATTATTGTTGATAATAAGAGAAGAGATAAGTGTAAGAGATGGATAGTGCACGTGGTTGATCAGCATTGTTAAAGAAGAGACCAGAATGTGTGAAAGAGATAATAAAGATAAAATACAGAAGGCTTGCCTGTGCTGAAGTCCCAAATCTGTAAAACAATCTATTACCAGGCCAATCAATGAAAAGACAGCAATATCTTAGAAATATCCTAGTGAAATTGTTTTATTTTCAAAGACTGAAAAAAATTCCAGAGATATCTGCGTAGAAAAAATTATTATCTGCATAGGAATTAAGCTATCTTAGAACCTCTTCCCAAAAACCAAAGTGATAATGAAGCCAGTTCTTGTTTTACCACATCTTGAAACATGTTATAGAACTGAAGTAATACAGGCTCGGTGCCTGTGGCTCAAGTGGCTAAGGCACCGGCCATATACACCTAAGGTGGCAGATTCCAGCCTGGGCCCGCCAAACAATGATGGCTGCAACCAAAAATTAGCCAGGCGTTGTGGTGGGCACCTGTGGTCCCAGCTACTTCGGAGGCGGAGGCAGGAGATCACTTGAGCCTAGGAGTTGGAGGTTGCTGTGAGCTGTGATGCCACGGTACTCTACCCAGGGAAACAACTTGAGGTTCTGTCTCAAAAAAAAAAAAAAAAAGGAACTGAAGTAGTACAAACAGTATGATATTCATGTGAAGTTCATAAGGATGGAGAGATAAATCAGAGGAAAAGGGAAGAATTGTTCTTTGTATGGTGTTGGGAAAACTTATTAGCTATGAATTAACTGAAAAAGACATTCAATTTCCATCTACATTTTATGTCACCAGCCTAAATCAAATTCTATTTACTGAGGAATTAAGTATGATATAAAATTCTTTTTAAAAACCAGGGAAATGGGAGGTGCCTGTGGCTCAGTGAGTAGGGCACCGGCCCCATATACCAATGGTGGCAGGTTCAAACCCAGCCCCGGCCAAACTGCAACAAAAAATAGCCAGGCATTGTGGTGGCGCCTGTAGTCCCAACTACTTGGGAGGCTGAGACAGAAGAATCGCCTAAGCCCAGGAGTTGGAGGTTGCTGGAGCAACTCTGCTGCACTCTACCGAGGGCGAAAAAGTGAGACTCTGTCTCTACAAAAAACAAAAAAAAGAACAGGGAAATATGTTGGCAAATATTTCTCAAATGGATAAAATATTTGCTAATCTTGAAAGCAATAGAAAATCCTTCCCCCAAGCTGATAGACTTATCAGCATAGAATTTTAAATTTTTCTGTTTAAAAAATGTATGTAATAGAATATGTATACACACATATATATAAATGCAACAGACACCAGTCAAGAAGGTGTTTACATAAAATGTATTAAAGAACAGCTTTCTTAGCCTGTAAAAAATTAAACAACATAGAAAAATAGTGAATCTTCAACAGAGAAATAGATAAAAGAGATAAGCTGTACTATCCTCCAAAAGTAGTCGATACAAATATATTTCATAAACATATTTTAAAAGTTCTATCTCTGTCAGGCAAGGTGGGTCAGGCCTATAATCCTGATTACCTGAGCTCAGGGGTTTGAGACTAGCCTGAGCAAAAGCAAGACCCAGTCTCTAAAAATAGACGGGCATCATGACTGGTGCCTGTAGTCCTATGTCCTCAGGAGGCTGAGGCTGGAGGATTGCTTCAGCCTAAGAGTTTGAGGCTTTATCACATATTACTGTGAGTTATGACACCATGACACTCTACTGAGGGTGATAAAGTGAGACTCTTTCTCAAAAATAATAAATAAATGAAGAAATAAAAGTTCTATTTCACTACTAAGAAATTGTCACATGATCCAGGTGTTGCCCATAAAACGGAAAAATAGATAAATGATGAGGAGGAGCATTTTTTTTAATGTGGCATTCTCTTGTGAAAATTGCTAAAAAATCTCTCTCAAAGATAAGTGGTAAAATGTGTAAAGAAGCCTAAGCATCCTTAAATACATCCTCTTTGATCATATTAGTCATGTTAATAGAATTAACCTTGAGTTCCTTGAAGACAGGAACAGAGCAGCCTTCCTTATTCATTGTTGTACTCTCACTTCTGGCATAGTGCCTGGCACTTAACAAATATTATCCTTTCCTTCCTCCCTTGATAGAAATCTTGACCAGTTTTAAACATAAAAGGAACTGCCCTGAGACAGCTTTAGTTCTGACCCTGCTCTCTTCCTCTCTCCTTCTCTTTCTTTAGAAAGTTAGGGACTTCAATGCAGCTTACACTCAGGTTACATTTAGCCTAAACTCAGAATATATGTTGGAAAATAGATTAAATTTTTTATATTTCTCATTATCATTTAAATTTTAGAATATATAACTATAAATACATTTATTACAGATAATTATTTCAGTGTTGTAGTTCTTTGTTTTAAGATCTTAATGTAATCAAAAATATATGATGTTTCAGATTTTAAAAGAAAATGAGAATAGATACATTGAGGTTTAAAGATGGAGAGAAAAATGTTTTTATGGGAAAAAAGTATTCTTTGTCTAAAATCTTACATGACAATATAACTTCATCTACAGATATAAGAACAATTCATTGATCTATAAAAATGAGTTTCTATAATCTGTTAAACTTTACAGTGTACAATTAAACATCCAGAATGTAGCATCCAGCAATCAGCTAAGTTTTGTGCTTTTTCTTTAATTTCACTTTATATATCTATCAACCTCAAATAAATGAAAGAAAGGAAGAACCAAAAAAGTAGATATAAAGGAAAAATAAAATCAGTAAAATATTTTTAGGTAATAAAATCAAAGGGAGAAATAAATTTATAATTTTATTAAATTTTTAATCATTACTTTTAGGTTTTACCAAATCTTTATTTTTAAAAATTATTTGCAAATATGCCTGCTTTAGGATTAAAGTAGATGGAGGCTGCCTTTGAAAATGAAAGTTTTGTCTATTTGCTATGGTTTTAAACAAAACCATTAATTTTCCTTTGATGTGAATTTTGCTAAATGTATTTTCTTTCAGAACAAATATAGTATGTATGGGAATAAAAACAAAATGTCATTTACTTGTGGCAGCTCCATCCTTTTTATATTTGGCAAGCATTTAGGTTGACTGGATTCCTACCTTTTCTTACTATTCCTTGTTCTGGTTTCTTGTCATTATATTTTAGAACATCCCAAATTCCTTTTTTTGATGTGTTGTAACTACAGTAGGGTTGGTTTTTTTTAATTATTTTTTTTTGAGACAGAGTCTTGCTCTGTCCTTCCCAGCTAAATTGCAGTGGCATTGTCATAGCTCACTACAACCTCAAAGTCTTGGGCTCAAGCAATCCTCCTGCCTCAGCCTCCCAAGTAGTTTGGACTAAGGCACATACGACTATGCCAGGCCAAGTTTTCTAATTTTTAGAGAGACTAGGTCTCTCTCTTGCTTGGGCTTGTCTTGAACTCTTGACCTCAAGCTGTTCTCCTGCTTCAGCCTCTGGGCTCAGGCATATTCCTGGCCTGAGGAATATTTTTCTAACAAATTATAGTATAAATTTAGGGTGTGATTTTTGTCTGTGTGTGTGAATTGCATAATAAATTGAGTTCATTAGGTATTCAGTAGGTGTATACTGAGTAAAGGATACAAAAACAGATAATTGTCTATCCTTGAGAGGATCACCATTTAGTCATAAGATAAATCATTTAATTGCTTCATAGTTAGCAGATTGGACTGCATGTTGCTGCTATAGCAATATGTAAAAAGCATTCTGCAAATCAGGTAAGACCTCACCAATGGACACTATCTTGAGAGCATTTTTACAACTCATTCCAAGTTTTGACATCCAGAAAACTAATCTTTGTCAATGCACCCAGAGTTGCTCATAATCTGGAATGCCCATTAAAAGTAATCAGTCCTATCAGTCAATTGATTTATAAACAAGATTCCAGTAAAAAACACCTTATAATGAAAGATAAACTTTTCCAGCTGCCTGAATACTCAAGACAACGCTCCCTTTCTAAAATTTAACCTGAAATTAAGGCTAATGATCACAGAATTAATAGCAGTAGGGATTCGATGTATTTGAAGAACATTTCATGCCACTTTTGAAAAAGGGTGATTCATTTTCTTTACCCTACAGGAGATGTCACCTTTTATTTTATTACTATTTGTCACAGCCCACTGCTACCACGGCTTGTCAGGTCCTGGGATTGGCCAGGTCTCGGGCTGGGCTTATCTAGGTTCCGGATGCCGACCGCTATGCTACCTTGCTCAGGAACAATTGCTTGTAGGTGCCCGAGGGCTATCTACTTTAGCAGAAGGTGGGGAGAGAGAGAGAGAGAGAGAAAGTGAGTCTTTGAGGGTAAAGCAGTCTTGGGATAGTTCTTGACAGTCTTTAGCAGAGCTTAGTAATCTTCAGCACAGAGACACCGTGCTGGCATTCTGCAAGCAGGAGAGGAGACAGAGTCAGAGTAAGCAGGTCCATGACAGAATGCACACACTCCTAGCTGCCTTCTCCTCCAGCCCAATATAAAAGGCTGATCGTGTGCCTCTCAATACCACAGGTGTAGAGACTGCCAATTCACTAATGCTCTCATCTCACAAGCTCTCTTATACTTGTTATGAGAGCTAAATCCCTCCCCATGCTCTTTTCACCAAAGTATTCCATTATTGAGCTACCGGTGTGACTTACAACTCTCAGTCCCCCTAGCCGTGAGCTATATGGGCTGCTACAGTTATTATTTTTTTTAAGACAGAGTGTCACTTAGTTGCCCTGGGGCTGTGTCATGGCTCACAGCAACCTCAACCTCTTGGGTTCAAGCTATTCTCTTTCCTCAGCCTCCCGAGTACTGGGACTACAGGCACCTGCCACAACACCCAGGTTTTTTTTTTTTTTTTTTTTTTAGAGACAGGGTAGTGGTGGGGGAGGTGGTCTCGCTCTTGTTCAGGCTGGTCTGGAACTCCTGATCTCAGGCAATCCACCTGTCTTGGACTTCCAAAGTACTATGATTACAGGCATGAGCCATTGTGCCCAGCCAGATTTCATGATAACTAACATCTGTTTAATTGTCAGTAATAATTAACATAATGTATTCCTGACACTGTGCTAAGTGCTTTACATTTTATATGTTTAATCCTCAAACCATCTTGTAGGGGTGAGTACTAGTATTATCCCCATTTTTTGGAAGAGGAACTTGAGGCTTACAGAGATCAAGCAACATACCCAAGATCACAGAGGTAGTAAGCATTGGAGCTGGGCTATGCTCCAAGTAGTTGGATTTCCAGTGTTCACCATTTCACTGTCTTTTAGTGATTGAATTACCAGTATCCTTTAGAAACTATATGTGTCTCTTAGAAATTTCTGGATAAAAAATTTATGTTTCTCTTTTTCAATTTTCTTCTTTCTAAAATCCATGTTGATTATTATCATATTTGTCTAGTTCTGTACTAGGCTGACTATATAGTCTGATAATCCTAATTGGACTTGAATACTTTTAATATCTCCTTAGCAGCCCATTTTCAAATTGTCCATTATACTATGAGTTTTTCTAGTTTCTCTTCGAAAACAATCTTTTCTTGGCCTTGTCCCTTAAATTGCAAGCAGTTCCTTTTTTCCTATTTATAGCTCCCTCAATGTTAGTCATATTCTTTACCATTCAGTAAATACTATTTACTATTAGATTTTATCAAATAGAAATAATTATGTATTATGGGAATAAGATTATTATGAGAATTAAATTTGGGGATATTGTTTATAGAGATAATTATATATTGCAGTTAACTCAGCTTGTGTCTTTTAGACCTATTAGTGTTCTAGTACAAATTTTAGTATTTACACTAAGATTACTGAGGAGACAGGTTTTTCTTAAGGTAGATATATATGAGTTCTCAGGAGTCTGTCCATGCCTTTTGTTTTGGCAAGTTAGATTTATCATGAACCTGTCATTAAGTCTCTTTCTTTAATTTATCCTCCTTCTAGCTCACTGGAAAAATACAGAGTAATAACTGCAGAATAATAGATTTAAAAAAACTCATCCAAACACTGATCTGGGCCATTAGAAATTTAACATTTGAACGTTTTGAAAGCAGTCAACAGTTTATATAAAGGAAATTATTAATGTCTTTATTGTACTGTATTTCTTCTAGGAGGTGATACGATCCTGTACTGCAAAAGTAAGTAGTTTTTATTACCAGGAAGATACATAACTTTAAAGCTGTAGTTTTCATTGCAATACACCAAAGAACTGCAATGCACCATTCATAGAGTTTAGAACCTTTACAGAAGTTTATCTGATGAAAACTTTCTTTGTTGGAGCTTGAATTTAACCTGAGAATTCAGTAAGGGTGAGCATTTAGCAAGTAGCTTCACATTTTAAAGATTTAAGAATACTAAATGAGTGGGATATACTTTCAGTAAGGAACCAGCAAGGTCATTTTATTGTCTGAGAAAAATCTTATTTGATAGTGAATGTTAAAGAGACACAAACCAATACAGTTCCAGTGGGTATATATGCCCTGTACATTGTATAAGCCTTGAAATGCATACAAGCTGCACATCAATGATATATTGTGCTGATAATGCTTTTCATCATTTATAAAAGTCTTTCATGTTTCTTTTCTCATTTAACTATACTGTACAACAGTCTTGGGGGACATATTAGGTATTCTTGTTATTCCAATTTTAGAAAGGAGACTGAAGTTTGTTGAGGGTAAGTGATTTGTCCACGGTCCCAAAGTTAGTCTAAAAATGGTAATATTAGAAGGATCTTGTATTATATAGTTTCAATTAAATTATATCCTGGTTGCTTGCAATAGCAGCTATTGGCTTTTACCATTCAGGTTATTTTATGTATAATACATAACTCAGTTGTTGAGAAGATGAAGAGTTGTAATGTCACCATGTGTTCATCCTTCCCTCTTCTTTTTTTCTGCCTATCCAAAAATTCAGTTGAATAATTAGACATCCATTCATTTATTAAATATAATTATACATCACAAAGTAATTAGAGGGAAATAATTAAAATGTTCAGAGACTGCTTCATTTAATGTCAATGCAGTGGAAAATTTTTTTTTAATTTGGTAAACACCTCTCCTACCATGTGACAGGCACTTGGGATGCTGGAGGCTATTGTCTCTTCCCTTATGGGGCATTTTTCAAATGAAACATGTCAGAAAATACTGGATTTACCCCATCACTGAACTGCCCATTATCAGTCAAAACCAATCACTTTTTTACCTAATTATCACAAGTTAACAGGATATGGAATATAGACAAGAGGAAGGAAGACAAGAGAAAAAAGAGAACAAACTACATTCTGACTGAGGCTGCAGATGTTCAGGAAACTTCTTCCTGATAGTAATGATTGGTGTATTGATTGTAACTCCAAGATTACCAAACCTTCTTAAGTATGCATAGTGTATAAAATAGTAAGCAAAAAAATTAAGAATTCAAAGCTATTTATCTTTATTGTAACAAATATACTGCCTACCTTTCTTTTGGAATGCTGTCTGAATGTCAGAATAGTAAAGTGTCTTGCACACATTTTGCAAGGCTTTATAGAGTGGCTAACTTATCTGGAAACTCGCCAAGGGTGAAGGATCTTGTCATTGATCTTTATATGTCTAATATTTAACAAAGGGAGAATTAATGTTCATTGAAAAAAATGATTATATATTTTAAAATTAATCAGGCTCTGGAAAGATTAACCTGACTAGTGTCTTCAGTTATTCTTTTTTAACACTCTTATTGAGCTATAATTCACATACTACATACAATATTTAACCCTTGTAAAGTATACAATTCTATTGGTTTTTACCATATTCATAGAATTTTGCAACCATCTCTACTATCTGATTTTAGAATTCTTTCATCACCCTGAATGAACCCCTTTGTCTCTCAGCAGTCATTCTGAATTCTTGCACACACATATGCCAAATCACGGCACATATCCCAAACTCCTGGGCACTACTAATATACTTTCTGTCTCTATAGATTTACCTATTCTAGACATTTCATCTAAATGGAATTATATAATATGTGATCATTGTAACTGGCTTTTTTCATTCAAAATAATGTTATGAAGATCTCCCATTTGTAACATGTATTAGTTCAGTTGACCCATCAACAATGTAGGGTGTATAGCCGGGCATTGTGGTGGGTGCCTGTGGTCCCAGCTACTCGGGAGGCTGAGGCAAGAGAATCACCTAAGCCTAAGAGCTGGAGATTGCTGTGAGCTGTGATGCCACAGCACTCTACCGAGGGCAATGAAGTGAGACTCTGTCTCTAAAAAAAAAAAAAAAAAAAGTAGGGTGTAGAAGTGCCAACCCCCATTGTGCAGTTGAAAATTTGTGTATAACATTTGACTCAGAACTTAACTACTAATAGTCTACTCTTGACTGAAAGCATGATAGTATAAGTAACATAATTTTATATGTTGTTTGTATAGTACACTATATCCTTACAATAAGTTAAGCTAGATAAAACAAAACATTATTAGGAAAATCATTAGGAAGCAAAAGTATATTTCCTTCATTAAGTGGAAGTGGATTGTCATAAAGGTCTTTACCTTTGTCTTCATGTCAAGTAGACTGAGGAGGAAGAGGAAGAAGGGGTTGGTCTTACTGTCTCAGGGTAGCAGAAAAAGTGGAGATGGAAGGGAAGGCAGGAGAGGCAGGTATGCTTGATGTTACTGTTCCTGAATAATATCTACCTGTAAGTGGACCTGTGCTGTCAAACCCATACTGTTCAAGAGTCAATTAGACAGCGGGCACAGTGGCTCATGCCTATAATCCTAGCACTGTTGGTGGCCAAGGTGGGAAGATCTCTTGAGCTCAGGAATTCAAGACCCGCCTGAGCTGAGACCCTGTCTCTACTAAGCATAGAAAAATTTGCTCAGCATTATAGTGGGCACCTGTATTCCCAGCTACTCAGGAGGTTGAGTCAAGAGAATTGGTTGTACCCTGGGAGTTTGAGGTTGTTGTGAGGTAGGCTAAGGCCATGACATTCCAGCCCTGAGACTCTTGACAAAAAAAAAAAAGGAAGGATGGCAAGGGAAGGGAAGGGAGTCAATTGTACTACTTTTTATTGCCAAATAATTTCATTGTATGGATGTTACATATTATTATCTGTTTATCCACTTAGGAATATTCAGATTGCTTTTACTTTTTTAGTTATTTAGAATAATACTGCTATGAATATTGCATTTATAAGTTTTGGGATAGATATACATTCTCATTTCTCTGGGGTGTGTATCTAGAAGCAGAATTGTTGGGTCATATGGTAAATTTATGTTTAACATTTTGAGAAATTGCCAAAATCTTTTCCAAAGTGGCTGTACCATTTTAGAGCCTACCAGCAATGTAGGATATTCTGCTTTCTTCTCATTCTCCCTAATACTTGTATTCTCTGTATTCTCTTTTTTATTATAACCATCCTAGCAGTGAAAAGGTGGATTTATCTTTGTGACTTTGATTTGTATTTTTCTTATGAGTAATGATGTGGAGCATTTTGGATATGCTATTTGTAGGTTTTTTTTGGAGTAGTATCTGTTCACATCTTTTGCCCATTTTTTTTAAATTAAAGTATTTTGGTTTTTTTATTATTTACTTTTAAGAGTTCTTATATTTTGGATATAAGTGTTTGATGAGAAAGATGACTGCAAATATTGTACCCTATCTTGTGGATTATCTTTTCACTTTCTTGATGTTGTACTTTGAAACAAAAAGTTTTTCATTTTTATGAAGTTTAGTTTATCTGTTTTTTCTTTTATTATTGTGCTTTTTGTGTTGTATATATAAAACCAACTAGCTAACTCTAGGTCACAAAGATTTATTCTCATATTTTGTCCCTAAGATTTTTATAATTTATAATTACACCGAGGTTTTTTATTATTTTGCATTAATTTTTGATATATACTATAATCTTACAAGTCCAGTTTCATTCTACATGCATTACATATGGCTATCCAATTGTCTTAGCACCACTTATTAAAAAAACTATCTTTTTACCCTTTGAATGGTTTTGGCACCCTTGTCAAGAGTCTTTAATCTTACCAATAGAATATATTTATGCAGTTTCCGTCTATTTTATCTAGTACAATAAATTTTCACCAGGTGCCTATTAAATAAGTTTTTTCTTTCCTAAATTCCAACCATTTATTTATATGGCTCATTTGGTTTTCCCATTAACATTCTTTAAAGAAATATTTGTTGAATGACTATCAACTGTTTTTCTAGGTACTTGGGACTATAGCAGTGAATAAGAACATCTTACTATAGAAAACAAATAATTTTTAAAAGGAAATAAATAAATAAGATCATTTCAGATAATAAGAGATATGAAGAAAATAAAATGGGCCCAAGGGACAAAGAATGACTGAAAGGGGAGACAGGTGTCTCTTAGAGAACACCTGTCAAGGAGCTAGTTGTGTCCCTCAAAAGTCCTAATCTAGGAATAAAACATCATGCTCAAAGACTAGAAAGAAGACCACTTCATTTCAGTAGCATTGTGAACAAGCAAGGGGAAACAATGTTTCGTGACAAGGCTGGAGAGCCAGGAGAGGAGTTCAGGAAGAGATTATGAGGGGCCTTTAGAAAGGCCTTAGTAAGGAACTAAGATGTTGCTTGAATTAGACAAATAAGCCTTGGGAGGTGTAAAGTGGAGGAGAATATGAGAGCGGACTTTATGGGAATAACAGAGAGCAGTTAGCATATTGTTCTAGTAGTCCAGGAAAAAGAGATGGTCGGCCTGGACCAGGATGGTAATAATGAAGATGCAGACAATGGAAAAATTTGGGATATATTTCAAAAGTAGATTCATAAGGACTTGGTAATATATTAAATGTGGTAGAAGTGAAGTGAAAGAGGAATTAGGAATAACTTCTATGTTTTGGGTTTCATCTGTTACACAGATGCCAGAGATTTTTTTTTTATTATTATTGTTTAGGATTCATTGAATGTACAAAGAATTAGGTTACACTGATTGCATTTCTTAGGTAAATTTCCTCTTATAATTGTGTCAGAGATGCTTTTTAATGAGATAAGGAATGCTAGAGTAAAGGAGCAAGTTTTAGAAGTGGAGTTCGGATATGAGGGTAGCTATGAAGTAGACCATTGGATTTAAGTCTTACACTTAGTGGGGTAGTCAGGGCTAAAGTCTTTTTTTTTTTTAAGCT